AGTGCCCAAAATGAGCGCAGCCACCCTGAAGAGGCTCTGTGAAGGAGCTCTGTATCAGAGGGAGCTCCAGGGCTGCGGCAGTCAGATGCTGCGGCAGGGCGAGCCCTGCGACCGCAGCTACTGGGGTCAGGGCTGCACGAGCATCACCCATCTCCAGCACAGCGAGTGGCACAGCGAGCTGTGGACAGAGCTCGACTGCAAGTTGCCTTCATTATTTTCTTTCTTTTTGCAGTCCCCTGCACCCAAAAGCATTCTGTGCACCCCAGACTTCAGCGTTTACCTGCGTTACTGCTGTTAATGCAATTAGCAGAAGCAGCCGTGCTGCGAGCAGCCAGCATCGTGCCCGGCGCCGTGCCACCGGCCCCTGGCAGCGTGGCCACCCGATTCCCCGGGCAGCGACGAGTCCGGCTGCCTGGGCTGGGGTGCTGGTGGCCCGACAGCCCCTGCTGCCAGCGGCCGAGCACGGGTTTAATTGAAAACATGGTAACTGAAAATAATACCTTTATCCCCTGTAATATACCATACAAGGGAACGGATCAAAATGAACATGCCAGTCAAACGGTTTATTTTAGACAGGAAACAGCCCCGCAGACCATTATTACAAATTAAAGGTATTATATTGAAGTCATTTTTAATCCCTTATAAATGAATAACCCTTCTACCAACATTAAATCATTTTCTTCTGCAGAAGTCACATTTCCTCTCCGTGGTGCAGGATATATTCCCCCCGCGGATCGCGGAGCTATCCTTCCATTAGAGCCGGTGGCGGCTGATTACACCGCACCAGGACTCATAAAATTCCCACAGAACTCGCACTTGCGTCTTCCCAGGGCAGAGCTGCCTTATCTCATCCATAAGCAATAATGCCACTTTATTTTCAGTAATCAGCACGGAGATGATTATTTAGACTCAGTCTCATAATCCTCCTCACACCAACTACGAAAGATCTTGATTTGAAATCTGTAGTCAAGAAATTCCGCCTATTGCAAACATGCAACGTGGGAGCTCAGCGCCTCCAGTGCTGCCAGTGCAGGCAGGCTCTCTTGGCTTATTTATATTTGTTAAGCTAGACAAAAAGTAGAACACGAGTCTGAGAAAAGAGCAAGTTCAGACAACTTTTAGCATCAACTGCACAATGTCCATTTCGGCACAGCTCTAATAGGGCATCAATATTGTCATTTTAAACTCGGGATCAGTACACAAATGTGCTATAAATGGGAAAATCCCTTGTGATACTAGTGTGAAACATGCAGCTCATTGATTTTGTTCTTGATGGTCTGCTATTAAACTAGCGAACATGCTGACCTTGTGTGCAAAGGCAGAATAGTGTGCATGCAACATAAAGTTGAAAAACAGCTTTAAAATGACTGTTTAAAACTGTAGACTACAAACCTTAAAATATAGACAAGCATTCCATAGTTTATTTTAAATTGGCAACCACAATTTAACAAGCTATTCTAACAAAGGATTAGCATAGCATGTGCTTTTCTTTAGCCATCAATTATGACACAGGGTAATGCAGGGCACAACTTAAGTGTCAAATTACAATATGCTATACAAAACCACTTTACAACACTGCCTTCTGTTTGCTTAGCAATTACTACAATGCACACTGCTTGCCATGGAAAGCCTTGGTCAGAATACTTTCTGAGAATTATTCGACATGTGCATTGCCTAGAGATTACAAAACACTGGCCACTTCTTTACCATATTTTAACCATTTAAACGAAGAAAAAATACACCAGTATTCATTCACTTTTGTTTATTTTTATGCTCTACTTTCAAATAAAAATTCAAGCACATATCACCATTTCAGATTCCATTAGATACATTTTTTAAAATAAATTTATTAAATATTTAATATTTCCATAGGATGAAAACAGCAATTTCCATTTAGCTCAATGACAGTTTCAGATACTTGGTCTGTTATTAGGCATAAAATTAACAGTTTTATCAATTTCAAATACGGGATGATTGCACGAAGATACTGATGTATGCAAAATATACAATGCTAAGAAGATGTGTGGATAATTTAGCATGATTTAAAATCTTATCTTCACATAAATCAGTCATACTTACAAATTCTCGCTTTATGATTTGAAAAAATAATATGAATTATACGTATTTTAAATAAGAAAGTTTTTATTATCCTTGTCACGTGAATATAGATTGTATTTCATGTGACTAGGGAGGGGGAGCCCCCTGTTTTAGCTATTTTTTCTGTTCTGCTGTCCTTTCTCCTGCATTTGCCTAAAGGCTCTCAGTAAATTACACTCCAAGTAAATGACTGTAATTTACCCGTTGAATTCCCTTGTTCAGGAAAAGCACACACCACACATTCCAGCGTTTCCACAGCTCAAATTTACCATTCTCGATGTCAAGAACAATCCACGGGCAGTAATTTGAAACTGTTTGAGCCTTCAAATAAGGGAAATTAGAAATGTTTTGAGAGCTAAGATTTTCAGTGAGGAGATAAAACCTGATAAAATCTGTAACAGTTCAATTCCTTCTTCTTTATATTTATAAACAGGGCATTAAATGTACTGTTAAGCCAGCATCCTGGTGCCAGCTCAGCTTGGCCAACATCGCATCGGCAGCATTATTAGTAATAGAAGGAAAACATTTTTTAATGAGGTAAAATCTTTTAAAGGCCTAACAATGAGAATAAATGTAGACGACCTTACAGAGAGCAGAGAGGCAGCACACGACGCCGAAGTCCCCATCCCGCTTACCCTGGCGCTCAAACTGCCCGCGACTCCCGTCGGATGGAATTGCCCCCGAACTCCCACCTAGGCTGAATTCAGCTATTTGTTATTCCACGTCTCTATCCCAAGAACGGAGCTAAGGCTGTACAGCTGGGCAAACCTCGAAATTAAAATATTCTATAAAACGGGATTTTAATTAACATCTAGAGCGATTAAAGCGGAGAAATCCATACATGCTCGTGATGAATTATCCCACGCGGCAGCGGGGAATGTTCTGGGCCCGGTGACGGATGCGCTGCACGCCCAGACACAAATACCTCCCTTCGCCTTGCCACGCACAAAACCCCACCACTAGCACACTCAATAACCACAACCGCCTATTTCGCTCTGTCTAAAGGCAGGTTTTCATATGGTAAAACTGTTATAAATCCTCATTATCCTAAATAAAATTACAGCACTTTAAACATTTCCAGGGAGAACATTCTCTCTTCTAAACAACTACCTTAGCGAGTAATAGGAAGCAATATGGTTGCACTTGTGTCACAGTTGGAAGTCTTTTTAAACTGTCGCCCTGCTAGCAAACCAATTCTACATATTAAAATGAATGGATTGCTTATTTCAAGGGGAAAAATCATTTATAAAATCAAGACCATTATTAAGATACTGTGACTTATTTCCACTCCAAAGTGCAGGAGAAACAGATAAATGCAGCAACCTATGCACGCTGAAATGTCTTTTTTTTTTTTTCTGATGCCACAATTTTCTTTTTCAAATGAGTCATCCATGCGTACAAGTAAATTAAAAATTGATCTAGGTCCCACATACAAGGAGCTGAAGTTTTTACACGTTTCCATATCACAAGCAAGTACGGATCTCACAAACATCTGTCTACAGGCTTTTATTTCTAAAACGTAAGAGATCTTCCTCCCATCTCCCCTGCTAGATGCTCGCACTGTGCAGACACCCAAAGGCACACATGCAGCATTTAGGCTGGGTAGCTGTACGTGTACCTGACCTGCAGCAGATTACTGTACATTTTTAGCGTGTAATTGGCTGACCTCCTCATCGGTTGTCGTCTTAGTCTGAAATAATACCCTGTCCTGGCCATATCGCCTATTTATTCAGGACCCTTTAACAGATTAGTTGTTTGGATTAAATCTAATCAGAGGTTCAGTTAACACACCACAGCAGGTTTGGGAGCGTGCACCTTGTAGTCACTGAGTAAATTATAGGAACCCTATAATTTGATGAGAACATGTGGGCATTTTTCCATAAGCTCATAAATTACTGATTGCTTTTTGTAGGTTTCATTGATACTAATGTGTGCTTCCCTCCATGTCTCTGCCCCAGATTGTTGCTGGCACAAACATCGCCACTTGGAACCCTAGTAAATTACTGAAACATGTTTAATCATGAGGTTTAAAAACTTTGCACATTAATGATGGGGAAGGCTGCTGCTCTTGAGCTGCAAAACAGCCTCGCTGTGGGTTGCCCAGAGCAAAAGGCTTCTAGCACAGATCTGCTTTCAAGTACAATGGAGTTGCTCAGGATTAGCAGGAGATGTTCTCAGATGAGGCTTTTCTGTCTGCAAACTCTCGCCTGCCAGCACTTCCATTTCCCTCCCACTTGGTTACACTGCCCAAACCAGCCAGCAGACACTTTGCACACACTGTTCCTTGCACAAACCTCATTTTAATGGAGAAGGCAGCTAATAGTAAAGCAATTAGCTCCTCAACTAAGAAACTGCCAGTTCTGCCATTGTCTTTTTTTTTTTTTTTAATATTGAGAATTTGTCCATTTATTTCAAGGCAGTTGAAGGATCTGTTTTCATAATTGCAAACCTGGATGAATTGTTTCTAGAAGTTGAACCATAGCTGATGCCAGCAGAACCTATGAACGCATAAAAGCTTCAGTTTCTAATGTCACTATCAAGCCAAAAACAATTACACCCATTTGAATTATGGCAACCAATAAACTTAGATAATCACCATATGCAACATAACATTTTGGCACTTGAACTAAAAACTCTTGTAGACAACTATAGATTGCTGCTAATGTTGAGCGTTCTTGTCCTACCCAAGGCTGCCAATAGAAATGCCAAAGCTGCTGAATACTGCTCATCCTCGTAATGTTGTCAGTGAATGGCACATTCACACAGCCCCCAATCCTCTCTTCCCAGGCATGGTCTTCTCCAGCTGCAGCTTAATTTCCTGTGACTTGCCTAATTACTGTAATTAAGGATTAATTGCCATTAATTATTCACACATAAGCTCATCGCAAATCATGGGGTAAATGTCTTATGAAAGCTGCCATACAAGCCATGTATAAACACACTGGGATGCTCCAGGCAGGAGAATCTATCACTCAGCCCTGAAGCAAATCTCTGTGCTTCTCTTACAAAAACAGCTATAACTCTCAGAAACTCGACAGTCTTTCCAGGTAAGCATTAGGTTACAAAGCATGTTTTCCTGTGGAAGCCACAACGGTTTTATTAGTACTATAAATGCTGTTTTATCTTTCCAACTGCTATTTTTATGTTTCCATTTTTATTCTACGGTGCTCAGTTTAGGACAAGCATTTGCTCGGAGGAGGAACGTTTGCAGTTGCTGCTCCCCCACCCCGCTCGGCGGCGTGCGGCTGCTGCGGGGTTTGCAGCGCGGCGCCATGTGACTGGGAGCAGCACGCCAGCAACAAAAACCAGCTCCCGATCAGCTGCGGGACTGGCTGGAAGCCCCCGGTGTTTCCATATTCCAAGTGAGCAAAGCCAGCGTTTGCACGCTGAGAGCGCTCAGCAATCAGATACCCTCTGAGAGGGCAGGCTGTCCTGCAGCACGGGGCCGGGAAAAGCCCTGAGCCCAGCAAAAACAGTGGATGTGACAGAGAACCAAATCGGGAGCGCTAATGAAGTGAGCCCAGCATTACGCTAGCTGGCTCGATGGTTCCTCTGCTTTAATTTATCTGTCTTTGCCATCCGCTTTCAAAGCAAGCCGAAGGAAGAGGCAGTTCCTTTGTTAGTGTACCAGCGTCGTGTGGGACATCGGGAGCACGGGACGCAGGCTGGTGATGGGTGAGCAGCAGCGGGAGAGGGCACCCTTCCCAAAACCCTGCGCTGCTGCCAGCCTCTCCCAGCCCCTTCGATACCGGGTGTAACACTGTAAGAATTTGATTTAGCACAAGGAGCCGCAGTGGTGGTGCTGTGGGGTGCTGCGCAAAGAGTCAAGGAGATACTACATCAACGCTATGCATTACCACCGAAACAGTGCCCCAGGAAATTTAAGTATAAGCAGGCAGAATGTTGTTCTAATTGTTATGTTAGTACCTTCTGCAGCAAATTAATGCATGAAACATTTTCATTTCGGTACATAAGTTTGTGTGTGTCTGAGTTAAACATTTATGTTAATGGACCTTCTGGCAGATCTGTAATGTTTCAAATACTCTTGTAGAACAGCTTTTTCTAAATACATCATTTAGCAGTTCTTTCCCCATTTTCTACCTGATCTGGGGGCATGCAGAAAGGGAAACTATTTCACAGTTTTAAAAACCTCCTGCTTGAGTAACTACAAAACTAAGCTGCATTCAGGCAAGGTAGCAATTAAGCCTGCACTGCCACTAGCAATGTAAACTGTATTAAAAAAAAAAAAAAATTAAATAAAAGGCACACTAATAGCCAGCATATGCTCTGATCATAACACCCTGCATCAGCATGCTGCACTCCCCTGCTGCTGCGTGCGCTGCGCCCCATGCCCACACCCCACAATCCGTGCCAACCCCATGCACCCTGGGCTGCGCAGGGCTGGTGGCCACCCTCCCCGTGGCACAGCTCCTGGACACTGCCACTGTGCCGGCCGCCCTAAAAACCCTGCCTTGATCTCCATCCCATAAATCTGCCAGGAGGACGCGCGCAGTGCTGGGATCGCTGCCAGGATCCCGGAGCGTGCCAGGATGCTGCCCTGCGGGGCGCGGAGCAGGGAAGGTGCCCGTCAGGCCGGGGGGGTCAGGGCACTTCTGTCGGGACGCACATCGGGACACTGTGCGTGGCCCCTGCAGGGCTCGGGAGGGGAGAGGGCTGGCCCAAGGCTCACCCCCAGGCTGTGCCCACACCTCTCGGAACCACGAGCAGGTCTCAGGCTGGCCCCAGCCCCTACACGGCTCACTGCTGGTGCCCCAACTGATTTCCCATCGCTGCCACCTCGCCGCTCGGGCAGCTGCCTGGCTTTGCCATGTCGCCCACACTGATGGGCTGCCAGCTCCCTTGATCTGGGTAATTAGGGTTTATGTGTTAACTGGAATAAATACAAAGGTGGCAGTCACAGGCGCCTATTTCCAAGCGCAGAGAACTGCAGGCCGGTGCGCGGGGAAGATGCCTCAGCAGAGGCCTGGCCATGCCCCGCGGCTGGGGGCAGGCTGGGGAGTGCCCCCAGACCGGGCCTGTCCCGCACCGGGACGTCTCCTGACCCCACTTCTACACCTCCAGTGCTCGGAGCCCCAGGCAGCGGCCTCACGGGTCAACAGAGGCTTCCTCGGGAGGTGGACGTGCAGCGTGAAGCACAACAGCAGCACAAGCTCGGCCGTGAGCTAACGCTGCTGGTGGGGCAGGGGTGTGCGAGGAGGGGTCCCTGCGGTGGCTGGGATAGAGCTGGCTGAGAGGAGCCGTCCCTGCTGCCCCCAGCGCCACGCGGCAGGGCTCGTGGTGCCCTGGGGCAGTGCTGGCTCGGGCACTGGCCCTGTCACAGCCCTTGGCTGTAAATACGAGGATTTCTCACCCTCTGTTTGGGCTGCAGGAGGCGACCCGCCCCGCAGTGATGTCCCATCCCATCCCGGCACAGGAACCCGTGCGTGGAGCCGGAGGACGGCGGCTGCGTGGAGCAAAGTCTGACCCAGGGCGTGAAGCCGCCCTCTCAGCTCCCGGCCTGCTATCTCTCTGAAAGCAGCACCTGTGAAAAATGTAACTTCTCTGACAGGAGCACTATTATTCTTGAAATACGACTAAATGTTACACAGTAAAAGCATTTTCCTTCTTGAATTAATTACATTTCACCCCCTCCCCCCCCCATTTCCAAGGTAAAGGCTTTAACTGTCCAGCAGAAGAGGCTCTCCTCTCCCGAGCAGATATGAAATTTGGCAAGCCTCATTTATCCTCAAATTTATAATTCAACAGATGCTTTTGCTAACACTTCTTGATAACGTTGCAGCAGAAATACAAGACTTAATTCCTGGTCATGGGAGGTGGAACACGAGTACGAGTATTCCTATTTGTGTATTTTAAAATCCTGCTTTCAAATATTATGCTTTGTATGGCTTCCAAATCAGTTTAAACTTTCTTGGAAACTTTTATAATAAACAGTCCTGCTACATAATTTGATGTTTTTAAATGAAAGCATCCAAGCTAATCTATACAAATTAACAGATGTCCTCCTGAAACAGTTAGAAACAAAGAAATGCAGATGCGAACATCATCAGCATCCAAATGAGCTTATTGTAGGACCCTTTAAGGCACATCTGAGCATAGCTCCAGCCTGTAGTCTACCTTTCAACTTGCAAATGACAGTGTCACCAAACACTGTCCTTCCATCAATCAAGCTGGGTCATGAATATACAAAAGGCAGCAGAGAAGCTGGCTACCTCCTGCAGTTCAACTTGGCCTAATTATCTGGGCCTTTCTTTTTGTTCCCATCTGAAGGGTACACACCCAGTCAGCTGCTGGGCAGCCCCAGGCCTCATCACGGGAGGTTACGCACACTGACCCTCCTGCGGACAGCCAATGCAAGTTAAATGTGAGCACCAAATGTCATCTTTCTTATTCATCATTATAAAACTTCCCTCCCCGTTCAAAATACCAATCTGCTGCCATTTTCAGACCCTCCCCCGCGCCCCTCCAAGCTGTCATTTCGCAGCGCTCGCTGCCAGTTGAGTGAATTAGCATCCTAACTGATGTGCTGTTATTCTCCCGTGCATCCCTGGGATGCGTTAACTAATGACCTCCCCTGGAAAACCCAGCCGGCCGGCGGCGTCTCCTCGCCGTTCGCACAGGTCCAGGTGTGCTCCTGGCGCACGCGGGAGCCTCCGAGGCTCTGCTGGGGAAAGCCGCGGGCACCCGCAGGAAAAGGCCCTTCGCAGAGCGCGGCCCTTCACGGCTCACCCGCAGCAAATCGCTGCTAACGCGCTGCTGTCAGCCACCAGCGGCAGCGACGGGAGCCCGGCTGCTCCCAGGGGGCCCCGCAGCTGCTGAGCCCCCAAGGTCACCGCGGCGCCTGCGCCAGCCCCGGGGCCTCTCGTGGCCACGACCCGCGGGCAGCAGAGCTGCTGCAATGCCGCCCATGAGGCTTCTCCCCGAGGGACGCGCTGCACAGGAGGGTGCTGCCTGCGGCTGGGGGCACGGCGCTCACGGGGACCCCCAGCAAGCAGGGCGCAGTGCCCACACCCAGCTCCCTGACCCTGACACCCAGGGCTGTGCCCAGCGCTGCCCAGAGCGCGGGGTGCTGCGGGAGCTGCCCGGGGTGCTGCGGGAGCTGCCAGGCTGGCGATCCCGGCGTGGTCCCTGCAGGGCACAAACGCAGCTCCAGGCTGACAGTGCCGGCTGTGCTCCTGGTGGGACCAGTCTGTGAGATTACGCAGAGCCTAAACCTGGCCAGCACTGTACATGTATGTGGCATACTTTGAATGCTTCCACTTTATAATAGCTTCGACTCTTCAGCAATTTACTGCTGTCATTTACACTTTTTCCAAAAGATTTAGTATCACGTGTAAACAACAAGCAAAAAGCCCTGTCTGGCACGGGCAGTCCCCTGCTAGGAGCATCCTCGGCATGCAGGAGGGGGACTCCAGAGATGCATGGCCAGCAGAGCCACGTTTCCTCTCGCCGATGCAAGGCCACAGGGGATGTGGGACAGTTTGCACGCCCGCTCTGTGGGGCCAGCACAGCACAGAGAGGGCTCGGTTACTTCTGGAGTATTTCTGTATTTCTGTAATTCTTCCGCTTTGGTTGAAGGCATACCTGGGCTAACCGCAGCTAACCCAGCTACACCACAGGGCACAGGAGCAACATTAAAATTGTATTTGGCAGCAAGTGGCACCGCTTTGCTGTGTTTGTATGGATTGCACTCGCAGACGTACCCCGCAGGAATGCAGTGTGCACTCCCTTGGTACCAGCACGCAGCAGGAGCAGTGTGCTGGGAAGGGCCCGAAATGTCAGGGAAGTGAGCTTTCGGGTTTATCCCAAAGCTCGTGGGCTCTGCAGGGGGAAGCCCCATTGGCTGAGGTTTTGGTTGGAGCTAACCCCCAGGAACACCGGCTTAACCTGCCCAACCTGTGAAGGCGAAAGGAAGTGGTGGCTCAGGAAGACCTGAGCAGGGACAGCAATCAGACAGGTGCACACAACTGACCGGTGAGCTTGTCTGGGTAATTTGACAATGTTTGTTAACGTGTGACAGCCCCCAAAGCAGTTGTGAAGTGGGCCCAAACTTTAATTAAGAGATAAAATAGCAGAGGATTTGCTTTTTCATGCCCAGTAAGATAAGCAGCCCCTGGTAATGCCAGGGCAAGGCAGGGAAGTGGGCTGTGTGCTGCCACGCTGCAGCCTCCAAGGGGACGGGGACAGCTGTCCTCTGGGGCAGGACTCCCAGCACAAGCAGAACAGGGCTTGCTCAGCACCCTGAGCATCCCAAAAACGTGTGAAAAGGCTCCAGAAGCTGAAAGGCAATTCACGGATCTGAAATGCTTCAAGGCCTGGAGCTCCCCATAGGGCCACAGTGTCCAGAGTAGCAGTACTCTAGAAACAGGGAGCAGTGAAAAAATTGTCAAATCCCTCGTTTAGAACTGAAATCACTTTATAGACTACCAGAGCTTGAATAAACGTGGGAGGAATTTTAATGATTCCGGGTATTTCCTGCCTGTAAATGGCAGTGGCCGGTGCGAGGACTGACCCCGGATCACCCCAGCACATCGCTGAGCCTGCAGCACCCCAGCGCCTCTGGCCCATGCAGGGCCGGGCTCAGCCCCCACGGCAAACACATGCCAACACCTGCAAAAGCTCCTCGGGCACAGATGTGAGAGCCACGACCCCGCACCACCTCCCTGCCCCGGCCCAGGCCCTGCGCTGGCAGCAGACGCCCACACAGATCCGCAGCCAGAGCTGCTCCGAGCAGCAGGGAGTGAGGGAGAAGTTAATCCAGGGAATGACCTTTAGGAGGAAACCGTAGCACAGATAACTTGTCTTACAGAAATGAAAGCAAAAATAAAATCTGCATCCCCGATTCCTTTTTCCTTTCAAAGCTGGGTGTCTGACTTTGCAAACTGTATTATATATGTTTACATTTCTATAAAGGCAAGTGCTCCTTGGAGGAGCAGCTTAGGTAATTCACATTTGCATCATGTGTAGCTATGATAAATAATAAATACATAGCTGATAAATGGTACTGTGCAACTGGAAGACCTATTTTTTATTGAATGGCTGACTAAATACTCATGTAAAAGTCATAACTTGATGCTTCTTTTACCCCGAGGCTGCAGTAATTTATTGTAGTAATTTATACAGGCTGCTGTGGTAAGGGGACAGTTTTAGCCCAGCCTGGGGACTGCCCCGTCCCACCAGCTCCTCCCTGCGGGTGCGCGGGAGGATTTGACAGGGACCTGCAGAGAGCAGAGGGGTCGGCGGGTCAAACCCGGTGCTTTAGGTGTAGCAGGGCCAGGGGATGAGGCTGGTGGGGACACGGGCTGCTCCAGCACCCCACAGTCCATGCAGTGCCCTTGCAATGTCCCCTACACATGCTGCAGAGCCACGCACATAGACCCCGTGTGCACAGACCCCACGTGCACAGACCCCGCACCGCACACACACCCCCATACCCGTGTGTCCATCTCCCAGCCCTCG